TATATAATTGGAGTTCTCCCATATATACTCTTGTTTTATATAATGTAGGTGGATAGTTGCTGAATTAAAAATGACTTGTTGGCACTCGCTCATTTGTGTACTTTTTTTGTGGTGAGCTATAGTTTCATTGACACTTTCATTTCATATGCGTCTGTTAGATGCTGGAAATTATGGACATGAGGAAAATGTCGGGCGTAGCGTCAGCGAAATAATCGGCGGTCCACGTAATAATTTCTTACGAACTGAATTTCTGTGAAGTGGAGAGATGCAGGTTTCGGAGCGTAGCCGACACACAGAACCATGGCGAGTAGCTGTCAATCTCGGGGAGTATCCCACTGAATAGTGGATCTGAATAAAATATTGTGCCAAATAATTGAAATTAACTAGTATAAAGGTGTTCCTAATAATTGTACAAAAATAATTCCTTCAGCCCAATACTCTCTTAAATATTGCTTGTTCCCTTGAACTTTTCTCAAGATGTGTGCCATCATCGTTAGGTAGGTCACGAAATTTTGTCCTCCCATTCACTATGTATCTTCGTTAGCTACGGTTCTTGAGCCCCGACTGTCGAGACAGATGCCGAACGTTCATATACCTAAACACAAGCCTATATCAAATTTCAAATAGTTGCTTACAGAACAGCTTTGCATGTTAAAGGGAAAGCAAACTGCTTGAAGAAGAGAGCACACAAAAAAGTGTGTGCTGCCTTCTTCCATCAATGATAGGCTATAATTATAGGCATTAGGCAACGAAATGCTAATGTCGCATAGGAAATAGCAGTTGGATTTGTAATGTAATTGCGCTGAAATCGCATGACGTATTGGGAATAGCCGCTTACAGAACAGACTGAATAGTGCGATACACACAAACAGAACGTGCGTGTCGTGTCGTATTCGACGTAACAGCGTATTGAACAGCATGCCATGTTTCAGGGGATATCACGATGCTTAGAATGAGAGCAAACCTCTTTCGTCCGTCTGCATCAGTAGAGAGCGTCAATGATATATTTATGGCGCGGACAGTGTTCCCCGAACCTCTCATTTTTCCGCTACTATACATCCACTGGGATTAACGTGGTTTCACACACTACGTTGCGTTGTCGCGCTTGCGGTGAACTTTTTAAGCCCCACTATCACCAACATTGCATTGATCCACCCGGGTAAAAAAAAATCGGTAACGCGCGCGCGTGTGATTGGTCAATCGGCGATCACGTGCAGGGACTGAGGCGGGGGCTTCGGTGGAACTCGTCTGGATTCGAGATTTGCTCGTGTCGCGAGGGATTTAGTTAGGCTGCAGCGCGTTTGTGGTGATAGTGTATACCTGAATCCAGCGAATGCCTCGGTGTATGTAGTTACGTTAACACCGTCCACGCGCTGATTGTCCGCTTCTCTCATGCCATAGCCATGGTTTCTCACGATCATTTAATATTGGAATCCACGATGTCGTCAATGTAAGAAATTTGGTGTGGAAAAACTATGGGTAGGATAGACTGGGCAAATTCGATTCCTGGAAACCGAGTGAAATTAAAAAGTATTTTTCGAAATGTATTCATTGTGGTGACCCACAATGAAAAATACCCTTTAATTTCACTCGGTTTCCAGGAATCGAATTTGCCCAGTGTGGACAATTTGGACGTGGTGGACAATAATGTGGACGTGGTTTCGGTGTAGGGGATACTTTGTTCATTAAAGCACACCAATGGGTATTTTTTAGAAAAAATACGCACTTGCCGAGTAAGCTATAACTAATCTTGAATAAAGTGGTTGTATGAGTAAGACGACATTGTAATGAGCAGGTCGGTCTTGAAGATGTCAGCTAGATCCATAGGGCTAGGCTGGTTATATATAAGGGTAAGATAAACTAGTAGGGTTATCTGTGCTTGATTTTCGAATCTCAACGCGTGGGAGGCCCTCATCTTTACGTACGTGACATGCCGTGCCGATGCTCGCGTGACTCACGATTCTTCCTAGTCGTTTAACCGTTACAACTGTTTAACCGATTCTACTATATTGAGTTATCAGCCGCAGTGACACTGCGTATGTGGCACAGCAGCGTCAAGCGCTAACACAACTAGGGTACGTAAGCAGTACATGCAGAAATCTCCACTTTTCGCCAAAGGCGATGATTCCCGCGAGCTCCCATGGGAAGCACCTCACTTCCCACTTCACCGTCTCACGGCGTACTAGTATCGCATATCCTCCGAATACAAGTAGATGTCAGATACGAGCAAGTATGCGTATTTGTATAAATTTATTAATTTTATATAGCGACGGATGACGCATACACGTACGCGTCCACCGGTTCGTGGGTGAGCAATGCGCGGGTTTGTACCCATCGGGAAATACATGCTTGAAGCGTACTAAAATTGCAAATAATTGCAGTCGGGCAAAATGATTTAACTCGACTTAAATCCCCCGTACGTCCTGTTCAGAAGAAAATATTTAATGCAAATAAAGCAAAGCGATATTGTCAGCCTCCGTGGTCGTATCGCCACAAACCGCCGCCATCTTTGATCCATAATTCTGTTTGGTGGGCACTATAATTATAACAACCACCGGTACTTAATTACCCGTAATGTTAAAGTAAGCTGTAAATGGAGGTTTCTGCTCGCATACGCATGCTCCATTTTATCATATCAGTCTCGAAACCATAAATCCAAGAATCATCCGAGAATCATTGAATCCGAGATCACACATGATAGCCATGCAAAGCGCGTGAACAGTGAGTGTCCCTACTACAGCCAGCCCAACATGGACTATAGTAGACCTAAGTAAGATAGTTTCCAGTACCTAGCATTGAAAGGCTAGTCATATCTATTGGCATTGCTGCTTACGCTTCACCAGTCAAACTTCACAAGTATTTAATGATATAAATTTGTTTACTCGACATTCTCTTCACTTATTTCTAACATTTAAAACAAGCATAAGATCACTACCCGTGGGTATCCTTATCGTAATCCAATACATAGATGGATTATTTATAAAAATTCGAGTTATGGATTCTGATAATATAAAAACTCCAAAGTTTATCTAGTACTGTTTTGGTCACTCGTCACACTACAGAAATTGTTGGACGTTGTTTACGGAAAACGTATCCAATTGTCCCTCCCGGCTTAATAAATACCGGTGGTTGTTAGTTGATAGTGCCGCGGTCGTACGCGTCTGCTGCAACTTCGAATAAAGAAAGATTCGTGAATTCTTAGTGAAACGTTACGCACCTATCATCTAACTTGTTCTGACTCATGGCGGTTCGCATCAGCATCGGCCTTCCTCTCTATCTGCCCATCGCCTCTCTTGAACAAATAATTCGCCCTCGAAAGAGCAGGAAGTCGGTGCCGGCTGGCGCACCGTAAACACAGGAGAGGATGGGTACGATGGCGGAGAAGGGCCACCTGGTAAGCGCCTCGATCAAATCGCACCCGGTGATCTTAAAAACCCACGCGCCGCGTCTATCGCGTGGAATTAAAACTGCGGTTTCGTAGTCGTCTGGCGTTTATACGAGTATGCAGTGCGATGTGGTGGGCCCGGGGTTGGAGATTTATCGCAGGAGAAGGCCGCGTTATCGCCGTGGGCGGCAGCCCTGCCAGTGATATCGTAGATATCTGAAATTCGCTCGCCAAGGAGAGGATATTGAAAATGACAGTGTTCGTAGTGAAACTGCTGCCCTACTGAGAGCGAGATTCTGCCCCGCATGTATACATGTATACACACACGCACGCACGTAAGCACGCACGCACATTCACATACATGCGACACGTAAAGAGAAAGCGGAGGAATAGAGAGATGTAATTTATTTTTGTACTTCGATCTATAATTACCGTGACTGTAAACCTCTTACTGTGTGGCGAATTTAGAACAGTGAATTGCCCAGTAGCAGTGAGATTAAATCATTGTTAATGGGGATAAATAATAAATTCGTAAAAGAGGAGAGCACCAATGTGATCGAGGTGCGACTGTAGAAAAGGCCTGCCCAGACTTGGGTGTTTACCCGTCAGAGCGTTTAGTTGTACCGTGCCGTCAGTAAGAAACAACATTAATGTTCGTGTTTATTCAGCGAATGTCCGGGTGGATGACCCGTGTCGTAAACACCACCGCTCGGCCGAGTGAAGCTCGCAATCTGCAAGAAGCAATAGTTGCCAACGACAATCGCTACTGGCAACAGTTGTGGCTGCTGGCAATAATCGTGACTGCTGGCAACTGCAATCATGAATGGCTGCTATATGGAATCGTAGCTGCTGGTAACAATGGCTGCTATAAGCAAGCATGCCTGCTGGTAACCATCATGGCCCGTAGCAACAATGTATATAATGGCAACAATAATGGCTGCGGGCAGCATTCATGGCTGCTGATGACAATGACTACTAACAACAATGGCTACTGGCAACAATCGTGGCTTCTGGCAACAATGGGTGCTATAAGCAATCATAGCTGCTGGAAACAATGACTACTGGTAACCACCATAGCCCGTTGAATAAGTGTAATGGCAAATGTCATTGCTGCTGATAACGATGGCTACTGACAACAATGACTACTGGCAACAATCAGGGCTCGTGGCAACAATGGTCACCATTTGAAAAGCTCGATTATGCAGACTGTTGTGCAGTCTACCAGTCGAATTGTGCCTCACGAGTGCGCTCGCTCGCAGACACACGATGGGAGGAGTTCGTTAAATTGCTGCCATGCACCGTCGTAGGATGGTTAATGGAGGCCTTTAGATGTGCAGGCATGGTCGTCGTATTGCGCGAAACCCTCTCAGACGAATGCTATCGTCTGACCAATCCAGGCGCATCCAATCGACCGATATGACCTACCCCCTTTTAGCTTGTCGCGGCAAAATTATGCAGTGGTGCATTTTATTCTATTTGCTTTTCTTGATTTTTATTGGTCCGTGTTTGCAGTGTACACAGAGTGCTGCAACTGCAGGCGAACGTATGAAGGATCGTTGAGTGAAGGAATGTTTTCTGGCCTTTCATTTTCTCTCGCCGCTTTTGTTCTAGGTGATATGCTCGATCACAGCATGGGATCGGGAGATGGCAGCGACCTAGATGGCAGCACTGATGACTCAAAGAAAGGACAACAGAAGAAACGTGGCATTTTCCCCAAGTCGGCGACCAATGTCATGAGAGCGTGGCTGTTCCAGCATTTGAGTGTAAGTCTTTTTATGGTGGCTACCCACGATCCATTAATAATCTATGGTGTGTAAGTTATTGTAGACATGTACGCAGAGAAAAATTCCCAGTGCAGTTGTGTCAGTTTTTATTTAAAAAAAGCAGGATCGAAGAAGCGTGGAACGAGAGTAGCGTTGTGTAATATTAGCATTACCGTCGACGAGGACATAATATACCGTCTCACCGATACATCGACTGTCACGACAAGTTACGTGCGCGCGCCTCACTCTTGACAGATGCTAATCAGTCGATGCACAACCGGTGCCAGCACCGCTCAGACGTTCATTATCGTGAGACGTGCTTATGCAGATCCCAAACAAGAAGGGCTGCCCTGTGTGCCCAACAATGTCAAGCAGTGTGCCGCTGTTGCTGCCTCAGCCTCTGCACCCCCCCCCCTCACATGACGCAATGTGATTGGTTGATGCAATCGTCCATCCGGGGCTCGCACCCTGCATCTCGTTCGCTGTCGTTTTGCCGCGCCGAGCCACTAATGAAAGATTCTCGCAATAAAAGAACTCGCGATTCGATTTAAACACCCGGTTGCCATTTTTGCGCATTAGCGTAAACAGCCGTGTGGACTTTGAAAGCTATTATGCAAAATACTTCATTACGAAGAAAATTGCGAGCATTATGCATGCAGCGCTCAAAGTCGTTTCGGATTCGACCATTGTTGGCTTGCGACGAGATAAAGGAAATGGAAGTGCGCAGATAACCCGAAGTTGGGTTTGCTGGTCGTTAAGGCAACTAAATTGGGAATTTTCAGAAAAAAATCAAATTGCGTTTTCTATGCGTGCACACGCAGCTTATGGCGGCACTGCACCGGGCGCCACGCAGCGCGAGTCCACTCGGACAAAAGGCGATTTTGAAAAACGGACCTTCGTCGGGCTTTTCGACGTCATTTAAATGTCGGAAGAAATTGTGATGAGATAATCGGACACTGGCCACCTGGACAGGTAGCCACGGAGAGCGGTCATTATCGCTTCCATTGAATCCCACCATTTTGCCGAATCGCTGTCGCTGCGCATTTTCCCAATTGAAAAGCCTCAAAAACAATGGCGGCTGACAGAATCAAGCAAATGCGCCCCCATATATATTCTCTATTGTTTTCGTCGCTTAATTTTGCTAATGGTGTAATTGCAGTGGCGGGCGGTATTTCAGCGGCATGGCGGCCACTATTGTTTTTAACAATGTCGCCTCAGCAACCTGCAGGCGTCTACCATCAAATTTCGCCTGTGATTCGGACCGCCATTCGCGATAACTGCATGCAATTTACCCAATTGCTCTGCCAGGAACAAATCGGCCGCCACGCTGACCACACCCCCTCCCTGCATCTCGCTTGTGTCATGGCGGACTTCCACAATGGCGGCGTGAGCGGCGCGTATGGCCGCTGCGTGCACAATGAATCGTTCGCCGACTGTCACAATATTGACGGGCCGTCGCAGGGGCGCACGCGGCCGATACAGACTCGTGCACAATGGCACGACATTCACAAAATTATGCAAAGCCGAGGGAAATTCGTTGAAAATTTCTTGCCGCTCGGCCGCGCTAACAAAGAAGCTTTTATCGGTATTTGAAGAAATCGATTCGCCATTTATCTCACCTGCACGCATCGCATTGATGGGTGAGGACGTGGTGGCGCCAGCATCCCATGTCGTGGCACGCGAGAATCATGGCGCGCGTGATTTTTTGCGAGATCGCATCGTGGAGTTTCTCGCGTGATCCTCCGGTGCAACACAAGCTGCCCGCTGATGACTTTTTTCTCCTAAAACCATGGCTGGCAGTCTCTGGGTCTTTTTCAACCTACCCTTCAGTGCTGGTGAACAAAGCAGCAGAACATTCCGGGCGTCACTTTCCCCCCGGGCGTAGAGGGAGGGTTACGCTACGTGGCAGCACTAGTCACTTCGTACACTTCCGTCGTTTCACAGTCATACTTCCATGCTAGACATGGCCTTATTTCCCTAACCCTAACCCTAATCCTAACATTAGTGCTGCCACGTAGCAGCACCCTCACTCTACGCCGGGGGGGGGGATAGACACCGGAACATGCAACCGGCAGTTAGATGCGATATGATATGACTACTAGGCACTTTAATTTAATTTAATTTTTTTTTTTTTTAGGGTTAGGGTTTAGGTTAGGTTTAGGGTTTAGGTTAGGTTAGGGTTAGGGTTAGGGTTTTTTTTTTAAGTGCCTAGTAGTCATATCCTAAGTGCCTAGTAGTCATATCATATCGCATCTAACTGCCGGGTGCCCGGAACATTCCGCGTACATTGCGTCACTACGTTGACAGCGCCATCTACAGGAGAAAAAATTAACAAATTTCGATTGCATCCAATTTTACTTCTTCTTTAGAATCTTGCGCGGTTATGTATGTTTAGATTTCCCAGACTTACCCAGACTACCATCTCGTAATTGGAAAAGTTTTCGCCACAATCCGCTAGATTACGACCATTCAAACTGTTTTTCTCACAGAGGTAATAATAATAATCATAATTTTCATAAATAATTTTTAATTTTCTCAAACGAAAAAACTGTCACAAATTATGCATGAAGAGGGAGCGTTGTGTCAGCTCATCTCCGCCATTATTTACTATGACAGCTGAAATGTTAAAACGTAGTGGCTTTTAGAATTGCGAGATTGCAATTCTATTATGTATATCAGTGGAGGCCATTTTAGATGCCTAATTACATGACATCATCACTGACATGGTAATCTCCATAATCTGAATACCAACATAGCTGAGACCGGCTGGCATGGGAAGCATTCTGTAAGAGAGAGGTTTTCTGTTAAAAACTGAAATTTTTCCTTCAATAGATAGAGAAGCTGTAGAGAGTGAGTGACAGGGAATGCGGCAGCATGTGAGATTCTGTGATTGCGAAAACGATAGGCAAGAGTAGTCTGGCGTGGAAATCTATAGAGGGAAACGAAATAAAGAAAAATTGAAATAACAAGAGATTCACATACAAAAAGGGTGCGAGCCGGCATGAGAGAAATATTTGGCCAATTTACGGAGATGGCATCATAGGCAGTACAATTACGTTTCTACTAACGTCATCGGCTTGACATGTGGATTGATCCAGCCTCTGCCTCACGCTATTGCTGCTTTATTCTTCATTTGGCTCTTTCGTTATTCACATTTACATTTTTTCTTTTCTTTTTTCAACTGGTCCGGCAAACTTATGTGAGATACTTGAGGTATGGCGCGAAAATAATGAACAAGCGAGAAATACGAGTGGGAAAGGACTCAAAGGAGGCAGACGGAGATAGTGGAAGATGGATAAAGAGAGAGAGAGAGACGAGAGAGGGGATAGGAGAGAGAGAGAGAGAGAGAGAGAGAGAGAGAGAGAGAGAAAAAGATAGAGTGAGAACAAGAAGAAGGATGGAAGGAAGGTAGGGAAGGAGTCAGTAAGACTCAGATCACGGAGGCCGCTGATTACGAGGCAGAGAAAAACGAGAAAAGAGATAGGAAGGTAGAAATAGATTTAGGAAGGACACAGAAATGAGATGGCGAGAGACAGACAGACACAGGGGGGATTACAAGAGAGACAGCAAGACAACAAGAGAGAGAGGCATGAATAGATAGACACACATTCAGGCGAAGAAGATGATCTGTGTGGTTTAGTGTTTAGCCAGGTCGGGAGGCGGGGCCCCTGTCCTGTGAACACGCATACGGGGAGGAGCGGCCGCAGGGGGTGGACTGAGAGATAGCGATAGGAGAGAGAGAGAGAGAGAGAGAGAGAGAGAGAGAGGGAGAGAGAGCGCGCGCGTCCCTGCTACTGCTGGGCTTTACGAGTCTACGTCTCTCGTTCTCACGCCTCGTCTCGGCGGCTAAGTTGGCCGCCTGTCACGGAGATGCCACGCAGTTCTCGGATTTGGATAATAACCGCGTAACTGTTCAACTCGAAATCCGCGGGCTTACTCTGATGGGATTTTCCGTGTTTAATTACATTTCTTGCTCATCCGATGTGACTGATAGGCGCTATTATTCGGCTGACAGCATAATTTTGACGCGCACGACTGCGGGTGAAATTTCACCGTAATTGGCAAAAAGCCTATTTGCAATTTGGCCGGTTTCGGTATTTACATTTGATTCGCAGCGCGCGCGAGCCCCGGTTCGTTTTTCATGCGCGAGATTTTTTTTTCGTGGCCCGCTAATTAGGCAACCTCCTGACGGATTGGCCCTTTGTTTACACTGACAACCGCATCTCGGCGCGACGTCAACTCGCGTTCTCGTTGGACTGTTCAGTTGTTTTTCCCCAATGCCATCTCGTATTGTTTTATGCATTGAAAGCGGCCGGCTTTGACAGCTAGGGCGCTACGCGCAATGTTTAATTTGTGAAATGTAATTATTTCGAGAACCGAACGAATGAATATTTTATCGAGTCTGAATCTCGCCATCGTATTCGTGCGTTTCGTCGACGGCGTCCGATCTGATGGATGCCGACACGGCGATGCAGGTGGTCCGCGCTCCAATATCCACACTGTCGTGATGACGTCATTGCGGATATGCGGAGGACGGCCGCCATCTTTGAAATAAAAGTTCTCCTTATCCTGTGTCAGTTATGCATGCCGGCAGCTGTGTCATACCTTGATTTTTTTCTCTCGTGTTAATTAAACTAAACTAAAACTAATATATTGTCTACCGAAATAAAACAACGATGTTAATTCGGAAATTCGTACTAGCCTACGTAACTCGATCTAGGTTCGTAATAACTATATTTTCGAAACTTCATCGCACAAAACGCGGTTTTTTTAATTAGCGCCTATTCTTGCTCAAAGTCTAAACATGGCGTCACACGATTAGCTTACCACGATAGTCTACTTCCCGTTACGTGACGGCGCTCAACGCCGCCCGCGGCCGTGATGTCACGTCTTCCGATGACGTCGCCCTCTCGGCTGCTCCTGTCATCGCCCCGACTTTGGCGGACAGCACGAGTGTCAGCGACAAAACACGAAGAACACTCGGCGCGCGGGCGTCGGCT